CTGCTGAAAGAGGCCACTATCATCAGGGAACACTATTGCCATGAAGGGGTGTACACAATCTTTAGGTATGTGGTACTTGTCAAAGTAACATCTACATGAATGCCAAAACCAAAGCTGGTTTTAATGATGTGGCTCATCAGTGTTTGTTGTGCAATATCTAGTATCCCATTGTGATCATAGTAAATGAGAATGGGTTGCAGACTGGTGCTCAGTAGAGAGTGACACAGCGTAGGCTGTACTGCTTGTAAATCCAAATTGAAATTATAAAGTTTCACTTCTGTTTCAGACATGTCACATGAGCCATTGTATCTTTAGCCAAACTACTGCCACAAATGATCTGGCACCGGAGAGAAGTGGCATATGGGTGGTAACTTCCCGTTAGTGTGGCAAGCTTTCACCATATCAATGAGATCTGACTGTTTCTCATTAATCACGTATTTATTTGAGATGCATATGCTATATTTTGTATCCAAAAACATGGCAGAGACACAGAGCACTAAAATAACACACTTTGTTCTTTTTATTCCCTAACTCTTCACATAGAGCCAGAGTTTATCACCCTTCCGTGGGAAGGAATTGTTTCCTTGGTCTCTCCATCTGGCTCCACCAGAAATCATTTTTTCCAGCCTCATGTAGTCTTTTTTTTTTTTTGTTTGTTTTTTTGTCCCCCTATATGTGATAAGTTATTGTGGGTCTGTATGATTTTAAGTTGGTTTAATATGAAACAAGGACAGTGGGACCCCTTTAAAAACGTTGTAAAATGACACCAGCTGCACAGTGGTCAGGGGCACAGCTGGTTATTTTTTTCAAAACTCTGTATTAACAATACAGCTGGAAAATCATGACAGATCTTTTGACAAATTTCTATAGGTCATAAGTGTCTTATTTTTTGTTCTCTTGCCAAAGTGTGCAGAAGCACATGCTATTGAACAAACTTTGATGGACTGTGGTTGAGTCTGAACAATAAGAGAGTCTCTAGGGTGAGCCAATGTGAAATAATTAAACCTGAAAGTGTTTCTTTCCTAGTTACATGGCCACTGGGTGCCAGTGCATTTAAAGTAGCATTTAAACTCAAAACATTACCATAGCAACTGTTGCCATCCACAATTTTTTTTAAAATGCAATTTTACAGCAGTTATTCAAAAAGCGATGTATTTCATGTTCTTGGTAAATATTTGGCTTACATTGGAAATAAATTGTTGGAAATGCACTACAATATCACATTTTGAAGTAAATGGGTTGTGAATTATTTTTTTTTTATTTGTATTTTTTCCAAAATATGTCTTAATATTTAACAGTTGTAACTTTATTTCTTACAATTGAGGCTATTACGGTTTGTTTTAATTTTTCACAGTTGCAACGGTTTCTGGAAATAAGACTTAATATCTCAGAACTGTGACTTTCTCGCAATGTGATTTAATATTTCACAATTGCAACTTTGTTACAATTGCGACTATTTCTTGCAGTGTGACTTATTTTACAATTGCGTCTTTCTGGCAATGTGACTCCATATGTCTGAATTGTGACTATTTCTCAAAATGTGACTTCTCACAACAGTAACTTTTTTTTTTTTTCCCTCAGTTCTGACACTTTCTTGCAATTGCGACTATATCATGCAATCTCATGGTTGCAGCTACTGTATTTCTCACAATTGTGACCGTTATTGTGACTTTATTTACACATTTGCAAATACTTCCCACAATTGTATTTCTTGTAATTGCGACAATATCTCAGAATTGTCATAGCAACATTACTGTCTCACATTTGCAATTATTTCTCTCAATTGCAAATATATCCCGTAATTGCAATTTTATTTGCAATTATGATTATATGCAATCTCACAGTTGCGACTACTTGTAACATTAGAGTCCACTGTAGGCGAGTTGTGATGAAACCCAAGTGCAGTTTATTGATATCCAGAAGTGTACAGACTTGACTTGATCATACTTGGCTTGACAAAGAAACATGAAATGAACTAGAACTTGAACTCACCAACAGCATTTACCGGAAACAAAGCTAGACAGTGGACAATGGCAACATGAGGGCTATATAAATCAAACAAAGGGGTCACATGACACAATCCAACCAATGAGAACAAGACACATGACGCACAGAACAAAGGAACCAATAGCAGGATCACACGAGGGCAAGCGAAACACATGACATGACAGGAACCATGACTATGGAGGAAAAAAAACTAAAGACATGAAAACGAACATAAACCAACATTATACTACGTTTCTCATAATTGTGTGACGATCCTGCATTTGCAATCGTCTCACAATTGTGAATATTTTTCAGTTGTATGAAAAATTCCCGTTGTAATCCCTTTCTCATATTTGCAACTTTATTTTTTTTTTACTTTCTCATAATTACCTGTGGTATATTTAACTTTGAGCTTCCATATTTCACAAAATAGTTGAATGAAGGTAGCTTTAGAGTTTCACAGTCTCAAAATAAAGATATCCGTATGCTGTGTATCAACTTTTGTTTCTGTAAATCATTCCATGCCTTTGAGTGTCTTTCTCATTCCACTGTATCTACACAAATAGAAATATTAAGTTTGGCTGTCAGCTAAAATATTAATGGTGAAGCACAGGTGTTCTTCCAAGACTACCCCACTTCACTGGAACTTCACTATCCAGGGTCCTGATAAGGTTTTTTTCCTGTCAATAGTGGGATGGGCTCTGGACTCTGCTCAGGAACAGTGGATAAAAAGAGTGTCTTTCTCATTCCACTGTATCTACACAAATAGAAATATTAAGTTTGGCTGTCAGCTAAAATATTAATGGTGAAGCACAGGTGTTCTTCCAAGACTACCCCACTTCACTGGAACTTCACTATCCAGGGTCCTGATAAGGTTTTTTTCCTGTCAATAGTGGGATGGGCTCTGGACTCTGCTCAGGAACAGTGGATAAAAAGAGTGTCTTTCTCATTCCACTGTATCTACACAAATAGAAATATTAAGTTTGGCTGTCAGCTAAAATATTAATGGTGAAGCACAGGTGTTCTTCCAAGACTACCCCACTTCACTGGAACTTCACTATCCAGGGTCCTGATAAGGTTTTTTTCCTGTCAATAGTGGGATGGGCTCTGGACTCTGCTCAGGAACAGTGGATAAAAAGAGGTTGTTTTTGTTACCTTTGGCTGATGTAGAGAACGGAGCCGGAATCCTGTCCTATTCTCGATTTCTCCCCCTTTCCTTTCCTGTATCTTCAGGTCCCCAGTAGTTCACAGTAAAAATAAAACTGCACTAAGCCTGGCACTGTGCTCAAGCAGTAGTTAAAGCTGATGGATCGCTGCTGGCTTGGTGCCTGGAGCACGGCTTTATGGGTCTTAGGGGATCTTGGGAACCCCAAGATGTGGAGCTTGGCGCTAGGTACGGATGCAGGAGAGAGTAGGGAGGGTGTTGTGGTTGGGTGGACCTGAGGTGTGCGCTTTTATGAACACACAGTTCCTGGCATGAATGCTTTTTCACATGTTTGTCAAGCTATGCAGCAGTGTGTACTAAGAAGAAAGGGGTTCTTCTAGCTTTACTGTATATGTAAGTATATTAGTTGTGATTTGATTATATGATTAGTTTATTTATTTATTTATTTATTTTGACCATCACTTGAGCATGATGCATCTACCATCTGGAATGCATTGTTTTGTTTTAACGCGCTGATAATCATCATAAACGGATCACATTTACATTTGTTGTAATGTTAAACATTAAGAAACTGTCCGTTGAATGTTCTAAATTGGCAACGTATGTGTGCTTTCACGGATGTCTTTCATACTCTCAATGGGTAAATTTCACAAAACCTCAAGATCATGTTTGGGTGGTATTTCAGAAAAAAATCAAAAGGGAGAAATCTTTAATATAAGAAATTATATTGTTTTAAGAATTTTTTTTTTTTTTTTTTAAATTTGCTTTAAGGAAATATTTTTTGCATTGTAATGACATTTTTAGGGTGTACTCACAGTAGGCGTTTTGAACCGTGCCGGAGTGCGTTTGACTAGTGTGAGCGTTCCGTGCCGTGCTCGGGTGAGGTTCGTTTAGCCATCCCTGGCCCGGTTGGAAGAGGTGGGCCAGGGCACTGTTCGGTTGGGCTTGGGCTTGGGCGTGGTACACATGCAGTGTGAGCGCTAACCGTGCCAGAGCACGGAACAGATACTGTTTTGTGTGCTACTGTCATTACGACCGCGAACATATTTTACTACAACTACACTACACTTTTCAATTCATTTAATTCAATCAAATACATTTAGGTTTATAATGGCTCTGGTTATCACCTTATTGATAAACAGGAAATGTAGTTTGCGAGTTAAGTGGCAAATTATTTAATTAACGTCAGCTGCCTCTGTAATAATTGTGATGCATACAAGTGAAAATCAATGCACAACATAAATGATAAATTAATTATTAATTATTCGGAACAATATTAGCGAAAGTGGTTTTCTCCGGTATCTTGACGTAAGCGTGCTCCGGCCTGGAAAGTTTAGTGCAAGTGTGAGTGCAGGCCAGTGGGGGAGTGGGGAGGGGGGAAAATCACGCTCTGTTCAAAGCAACCGTGCCTAGCATGAGTACACCCTTAAACACATTTCTGTGGAAGCTTGTTTAATCCACAGGATGGATGGATAGATTTTTTTTTTTTTTTTTTTTTTCCCAGAGAAAAAA